GAAAGAAATGAACTATTTATGAATTCAAGAACCTGAATTCTAGCCCTATCTCTACTTAATCTGGAATCCAGGACAAAAACACTTAACCCCTCCAGGCCTGAGTGTTCTTATCTTGGAAATAAGAAGATAGTAACAGATTATCTCCAGTGTTTCTTTCATCTCTGAATTCTGTAATTGTGTCCTGCTCAGCTGCTGTTGTTTGGAAATAAAGAGTCTGGGTGGAGGAGAGACCTCATTTTAAATATAAAAGGTCTTATAGTTGATAACTTTGCCAAAACACTGTATAACATAATTTTTTTTGTTTTCATATGGAACAGCAGTGGAACACGTAGAGTGAAAAACTAAATGTTTCTTCCATCATGCCCTCTTCCCTTGCGCTGTGACTCTCACGTGAACGTCTCCCTGTCCATTCCTAAGACCAGCATCCCTGCAGAACTTCTCCCCAGTTATGGTTTTCTTGGTTGAAGCCTCTTGCTTTACTTTTTTAAAGCTTTTTAAATTTTTTCTTTAATAAAGAAATTAATAAAGAAATTGTGACTGACTTTTTACACAGAGTATACATGTTTAACCACCATCCAGACTAAGAAATGGAAGCTCCTTTCATGCAGCTTTTCTCAAAATCTTTGAGAAAATATGGGTTCATATACATTGCATTGATATCATTGTTTCAACTGAGGGTTTTTTTTTTTTTTTGGCAGATGATGATAATCTTTTGTTTCAGTTGGAAAACTAATTTATTAATCCTTAATTGTTAAAGTCACTTTTTCTACATCTCGAGCTTGTTGTCTTCAATGCTAGTGCTGTATAGTCCCTTTATATATCAACATAAGTTGACTCTGCAAGCATTTCCAGTGTAACTACTATGTGAGGTTCCTGGGTGTAACCAGAGATCCAACAGGATTTCAGGGAACTTCAGAGTGGGTGTGTAGAAAACCGAGGGTTATAGACAAGACAAGAAACATGCAGCCACAATTACTTTTTTCAGGCTAGAGGTAGCCTTGTGTTATTTCTTATCATGAATAATTTAGGAGATGGAAAAAATGACATTAAGCCCAGCAATCAAAATCAGTTCCATTCTAGATATCGAGGAAACCTGCAGACAGTGAAATCTTCTCAGTTACCTGGATTGTCCTTGATATCCCTGTGCAGTTTTTTTTTTTTTCTTTATTGAAACAGGACACTGAGACTTGCTATTAACCAAACCTGTTTACTTTTTATTTAGACATTTTCTGTTAGAAAGAATTGTTGATTGGAAATTCTATGTTTTCTTTTTTACATTTGAAAAAATTAAGTTTTTTACTTCTTTGAATTCAGTCAATTTAATATCCTGGTTTGCTCCTTCTCTTCCAGTTTTTTTGTTGTTCAGTTGCTCAGTCGTGTCCAGCTCTTTGCGACCCCATGGACTGCAGCATGCCAGGCTTCCCTGCCCTTCACCATCTCCTGGAACTTGCTCAAACTTGTGTCTATTGTGTTGGTGATGCCATCCAATCATCTTGTCCTCTGTCATCCCCTTCTCCTGCCTTCTATCTTTCCCAGCATCAGGGTCTTTTCCAATAAGTCAGCTCTTGAGGTGGCCAAAGTGTTGAAGCTTCAGCATCGGTTCTTTCAATGAATATTCAGGACTGATTTCCTTTAGGATTGACTGATTTAATCTCCTTGCAGTCCAAAGGACTCTCAAAGCGACTCTCGAAAGTCTTCAACACCACAGTTCAAAAGCATCAATTCTTCGGTGCTCAGCCTTCTTTATGGTCCAACTCTCACATCTGTATGTGACTACTGGAAAAATCATAGCTGTGACTATCTTTAGCCTTAGCCTTGAAGTTTTCTTCCTCTTGTCAGTGTTCTTTCTCTTGTCAATGTTCCCTGCTTCCTCCCTGTCTTTTTATTGAAACTGCCTGACAGAATCCCAACTCCTGATTTTTCTACCTGGGCGCTACTGAAGAAAATCACAGAGGCAGTAACACAGCTATAAGTTTATAGTTACTGACTTCGAGTGGGCCCACACGATGTGCTGTAATTCAATCTTTTTCTAGTTTTCCCCTTTCTCACAGCAGTTATTTTAGGCATTCAACAGTGCATATTTCCAGCTTTCAGCTTTCCTTCTCTCTTTCTCAGCTGAATGGTGTTTCATGCCACAGAGAAAATAGAAATCTTCCAATGAGAACTGCCACAGTTTCTTGCCACAAACCTATTTACATTTATACTGTTTCTGTTTTGTTTGTTCTTACTGTTTGTGGTGGCAAGAGCTTGCTTTTAAGAGTAGAAAATCATACGCCTCCAGAAACCAAGAGATAATATAAAATCTGTGAAGCGGTAGGGTAAGCAGTGGTTCTGTGGCTTGCTAGGAACTGATAGGAGTTACCTGAAGATATCCAAATGCAAGTTTTTAATACTCTTTTGTCAGCTGGAGCGAAGCCTGCCTTGATGAGCATGCCTGCTGGGCTAAGACTAGAGAAAATGGAGCCTTCTCAGGGGGCTTTACCCCAACCTTCACCATGCCTATCTTCTCCAGTACCAGGACCTCTTTTTCTATTCTTTTGTATCCATTTTTAGACATTCTCAAGCTTATCCCATTTTTGGAACCTTTCATTTATCCCTGTTTTCTTCTCTAACTACTCTACTTTCTTACTTTTAAACTGAAGAGAGAATTGCCTACTGCTCTGGTGTTCGACAGATTTCAATTGGAGTCTTTACCATACTGTTCACGAGCTCTCAGGTTCTTATCCTCTCCAAGCCTACTTTCTTCAACCATAAAAATGAAATGAGGATAATATTAATAATATGCCCAGTCATAGAGTTAAGTATTAAATGAAAGAATGTAGGTATGCTATTCATAGCACCAAAAAGGTCATACTGAGTCCTTTGCTTACATACATCTGCTTCAGCCCCTGGCAGTCTGCCTTCTGTTCCCATCCCTGAAGCCCTGTTGTGTTGTTTTTGGGTTTTGTCCCCAGTTGTCACTGGTACCCCTGACAGCCTTGCCTCCTCAAAGCAGTTCTTCTTTGGATGTCCCTGCCATGCACCCCAGGCTCACGCTCTGCTTCTATGAATCCTCCCTTGGGTTCCTTCGACTCTGTCCTTTCCCCACCCTTTAAATGTTTATCTTCTTCAGCATTCTGTCTCCATCTTTGTGCAGTTGAGCTATCAGCTTGGCTAGAATCTCTCTGGTAGCCAAAGCAAAGGAAGAATATTGTGATGATATTAATGTATAGTTCATGATCATTTACTATGTGTTAGGCATTTTTATAAGTGCTTTACGTGTATCACTTGATAAAACCTGCACAGCAACTCCATGGGGTCGAGGAGGTAGATAAGAGCAATGAAGTGCTGAGAGGTAAACCTGCTCCAAGTACTGCTCCAGGTAATTCAGTTCTAGGCAGGTGAATTCTGCAGATCTCTGTCCTAACCAGAACAGTATACATTCTCCCCCAGACAGATGATTAGTAATGTTTAGAAAGGTAAAAACATTCATCAGGAAACTACAGCATCTTCTGGGACATAGATCTGAAGTGATATGTGTGATGATTCTTTGGGAGAGATGAGAAGGTTTCCTCAGCTATGATCTGCTAATAAATACCCCTTAGTAACATTTCATTCTCATGGAGAATGTCAGTGCAGAATGCTATAATATATTACCAACGCTTAACACACCCAATGTCTTTTTTCCATGATTACATTTTTCAGATAGCCATCTGATAGAAATTTGGAGCAAACATTTCACAGTCAGGCCTAATAGTTTAAAAGGGACATGAACAGTGTCTTAGTCTTTTTTGTATCTACAGTATCTAGCCCAGGACCAGTCAGGCCTAATAGTTTAAAAGGAACATAAACACTGTCTTACTCATCTTTGTATCTACAGTATCTAGCCCAAGACCAGTCACTTAGAAATCGTTGAGTCAGTCTGTGACCTGCATGTGACCGTACTGAGCTCGTCAGCTCCTTAAAAAAGAATGACTTGGGACAGGATGTATTTCACGTGACAGGTTCTGGGGGTAGAACTGATGATCGCTTGCAAGATCTGCTGAGTTCAAAGGGTCAGAAGAAGTAGGAACTCCATCCCTGTGTCCTGCTTCTCCCCATTTCCATATTCATGTTTTTCTTTATTAATTTATTGTATCTATTTCATTCTTACTGTATACCAAGTCCTGTATAAAGTAATAGGGATCCGGTGGTGAACAAGATAAAGTCCCTGCCCTTAAGATGTTTACACTCTGGTGTGAAAAAACTGATTTGATAATACACTAAGATCAGTACTCTGAAAGGAGTGTTGATAGTATTCGGCTCTTCAGGCAGTGAGAACAGGTTAGAGGAAGCAGTGTGTTCAGAGAACCTCAGATCTTTATTAGAGTTGGAGGTGAAATGTGAATGTGAGAAATGGTGAGAAATGGTGAGAAATGAGGCTCACGGAAAGCAGGGCCAAGTGTGTATTTAAGGTTTGTACTTCCACTCCTCTTCCACATCTCTGCAATCCCTTTCTACTAGTTTGATGAGTACGAGGAAGCTTAATGTAGAAATGTGTTCCAGGTGCCATAAAACTCCTTTTTTGCTGAATACCACAACTGAGACTGCACAGTTAATCTTTTCAGTAACTATTTTTCATTGTGAATGTTTGATATTCATGTGACTCTTTGCCTGTCATTGTGAACTCTTCAAGAACAGGGGCAGTGTTTCATTCATTTCTGTGTCTTTAGCATCTAGTAGTAACTCAATAAATGTTTAAAATTTCATTCGCATTTGTAGTCATTTTATGTGTTATGCTATTTACCAAAGCATAGTTGTCCTATTTTTCTGTGAAAAACAGAGTTCAAGTTTTAAACAAATGAACTTATAGACTACTCAGTGAGTTTAAGATTACCTGTCTTTGAGTAAGGAAAAATTACTAAATAGAAAAATAGAGGATTTTTAAAAATTACAAAGATACAGTTCAGTGAAAGAATGCAATACGGAAGTTGGTCAAGTATGTTTAGTTTGAATGGTTTGTTACTGTTTTTGATCTATAGACTTATGAGGAAGATCGCAGAAACTACTCTGAGCTTCAAATTAGATGTCAACGTTTGGCCTTAGAATTAGCAGACACAAAACAGTTAATTCAGCAAGGTGACTACCGTCAAGAGAACTATGGTAAAGTTAAGAGGTAAGTAGTTAAAATGTCTACATTACTTGTTCTCTTTTTTGGCATGCATCAGTCACTTGAATTCTTACCGTCATCATCATTAATGCTACTTTATTTCTCTTTTTTCTGTTTCCATAGTTTTTTCTTTTCTAAAATGTCATATAGTTGGAACCATACTATATGGAACCTTTTCAGATTGGCTTCTTTGACTTAGTTATATACATTTAAGTTTCCTCCATATCTCTTCATGGCTTGATAGATCATTTGAATAATGAGTAGTATTCTATTAAATAGTACTCACTGAATAATAATATTCCATTGAATGATGAGTAATATTCCACTGTCAAGATGTAACCACAGTTTACTTATCCATCCTGCTGAAGGACATCTTAGTTGCTTCCAAGTTTTGGCAGTTAGGAATAAGGCTGATATAAAAATTCATGTGCCAGTTTTTATATGGACATAAATTTTCAACTCCTCTGGGTAAATAACCAAAGAGTGTGAACGTACTTGTATGGTAAGAGTATGTTTAATTTTGTAAGAAACCAGCCAAGTGTCTGTCCCAAAGTATCTGTACCATTTTGCATTTTCACCAGCAATGAATTAGAGTTCCTGTTGCTCCACACCCTTGCCAGTGTTCGTTATCAGTGTTCTGGATTTTACATTCTAATAGGTGTGTAGTCATATCTCATTGCTTTAATTTGCATTTCTCTGATGACAGGTGATATGGAACATCTTTTCATGTACTTAGTCGCCATCTGTATATCTACCTTGGTGAGGTGTCTGTTAAAGTCTTTGGCTTATATTTTAATTGCGTTGTTTGTTTTTTTACTGTGAATTTTAAGAGTTCTTTGTATATTTTGGATAATAGTCCTTTGTTTATCAGATACATCTTTGGGAAATATTTTCTCCCAGTCTGTGCCATGTCTTCTTATTCTCTTGACATATACCTTATTCTTTATTGTTTGAAAGCATGTAGTTTTAGCAGCTTGGTGAGTTTAGATTGTATTTTTAAATCAGTTGTTTTTATTTTATTTAGAAGTTGCTTTTGCCTTTTTAAATGTGATAGGAACCCAGGGAAATCCTATGTGTATAAATATTTTTGAACTCTTACTTGATTATTTTTATTTTATGGAGTGAATGTAAGTACTTTGCAGTTTTATCTAAAGTTTTTTCAGCTATTTCTTTTCAACAAAAGGCACATACACTTTCAGAAAAATGATCCTTTCTGAGGATATGTTTCCCATTGTGTTACTGCTAAATAGCTATACCATATAATTTTCCTTTTGCTGGAATAGACTAATGAACCACTACTCTTGAGAAACCTGTATGCAGGTCAGGAAGCAACAGTTAGAACTGCACATGGAACAACAGACTAGTTCCAAATAGGAAAAGGAGTCCGTCAAGGTTGTATATTGTCACCCTGCTTATTTAACTTATATACAGAGTACATCATGAGAAACGCTGGGCTGGAAGAAACACAAGCTGGAATCAAGATTTCCGGGAAAAATGTCAATAACCTCAGATGTGCAGACTACACCACCCTTATGGCAGAAAGTGAAGAGGAACTAAAAAGCCTCTTGGTCAAAGTGAAAGAGGAGAGTGAAAAAGTTGGCTTAAAGCTTAACATTCAAAAAACTAAGATCATGTTATCTGGTCCCATCACTTCATGGGAAATAGATGGGGAAACAGTGTGGAAACAGTATCAGACTTTATTTTTCTGGGTTCCAAAATCACTGCAGATGGTGATTGCAGCCATGAAATTAAAAGGCACTTACTCCTTGGAAGGAAAGTTATGACCAACCTAAATAGCATATTAAAAAGCAGAGACATTACTTTGCCAACAATGGTCCCTCTGGTCAAGGCTATGGTTTTTCCAGTAGTCATGTATGGATGTGAGAGTTGGACAGTGAAGAAAGCTGAGCGCTGAAGAATTGATGCCTTTGAACTGTGGTGTTGGAGAAGACTCTTTAGAGTCCCTTGGACTGCAAGGAGATTCAACCAGTCCATCCTAAAGGAGATCAGTCCTGGGTGTTCGCTGAAAGGACTAATGCTGAAGCTGAAACTCCCAATACTTTGGTCACCTCATGTGAAGAGTTGACTCACTGAAAAAGATCCTAATCCTGGGAAGGATTGGGGGCAGGAGGAGAAGGGGACAACAGAGGACAGATGGCTGGATGGCATCACCAACTCGATGGACATGGATTTGGGTAGACTCTGGGAGTTTGTGATGGACAGAGAGGCCCGGCATGCTTGATTCATGGAGTTGCAAAGAGTCGGACATGACTGAGCGACTGAACTGAACTGAATTGAACTTAGCTATATGCCCTTAGGAAATCTCTAATTATTCTAAGCTGAAGTTTTGTCATTTCTGAGGTAGTGCTAATACAAAAACTATGCTGTATAAATTTAGAAGATTGAATAATTTTTATGAAAATATATATATGTGCATATATACACATATATAGAGAGAGGTTATTCTAGTTGTCTACTGCTGTGTCTATTTGTACCTAAAATAATTCTTGAACCATTGTGGTCACTCAGTGATGTTTGTTAAATGGATGAATGCTTTATAAACTGTGAAACACCGGAAGTAAATTTGCAAGGATTTGGGAATATGACATTGGTACTCCTACTCCCAGCGTGACTGACATGCAGTGTCTGTTACTATGTATGTATTGTTATATCATAATGTAGTGATTATTAGAGCTTGAAATCCATGGCAGCTGTACCTTTGGGTTCTCAAATAAAGCTAGATTTAAAAGAATCATTTCAAAATGAAGTAGATTGTGATGATAAGATAATACTTTGAGTTGGTGTTTTGATGGTCTCTCAGGGCTTCCCTTGTGGCTCAGCTGGTGAAGAATCCACCTGCAACGTGGGAGACCTGGGTTTGATCCGTGGGTTGGGAAGATCTCCTGGAGAAGGGAAAGGCTACCCACTCCAGTATTCAGGGCTGGACAATTCCATAGACTGTACTGTCTGTGGGGCCAGAGAGTCAGACACCACTGAGCAACTTTTACTTTCTGCCACTATAAACCTATAGCAACAATAGGTAAAATATGAAAGGAGAAAACTAAAAGGCATAGTCATCAAAATAATCCACAGTGGCCATGAAAGGATGGGTGAATGAACCGAGATGAGCCATGAGTTGATAATTATGGTGAGTGATGAAAACAGGGAGTGGGGTGGGGAGGTGTTTCATTTTATCATCTTTATATATTTATATATGTTTTCCATAATGAGAATCTAAAAAATAAAAATATAATAAACATCATTATGTGCTGGAAATGGAACAGGAAAACAACCAAGCAAGGGTGGCTCAAGCTGAGAATCCTTTGGTTTGCTCAATAGGAAGAATGGATTTTTAAAAATTGGTCTGATCACAAAAATATAAACTGGGAGGAAAAATCACTTTAATGTCCTTGATAAATTCTCACAAATGTACAAAAGAGAACAGGTATATATATGGAGATTAGCTGCATCACTATTAGAAAGAATTCAAATGCTTTTTGACAGCAGCATGGAAAACAGATTATGAAAAAAAAAGAAAATAGATTGTAATTTATTTCTATAATGTAATTCTGTGTAACAATTAAAATAATTAAATTAGATCTGAATGTATATATTTGCTCGCTCAATCACTTCAGTCATATCCAACTCTCTGCGACCCCATGAACTGTAGCCCGCCAGGCTCCTCTGTCCATGGGATTCTCCAGGCAGGAATACTAGAGTGAGTTGTCATTTCCTTCTCCAGGAGATCTTCCCGACCCAGGGATCAAACCCATGTCTCTTTATGTCTCCTGCATTGGCAGGTGGGTTCTTTACCTCTAGTGCCACCTGGGAAGCCCCTAAGGTATATATGGATAAGTCAAACACATTTAATTTTAAGAAGCAAAATGCATATGCCAATCTTTCTTTTTTACACTAAAAAATCATAGCAAAAGTCATTACCTTGTGAGAATAAAATCATTTGTATGTAAAGACATAAAATACTTAACATGAACCAGAATGTTAATACTGATAGTCATCTTTAGTTAGTGGGTTTATGGGTGATTGTTATTTTTTAACTTGTGCTTTGCTCAAGTATAAATGCACTATTTTGTTAAGCAGAAAAAATCTTAGAAGTCATCTTTCTAAATGAGTTATTAAAAATCTGATGAAAAGAAAAGATTTTTAGTAGCTCTCCCTATGGAAACGCCAGGAGAGTGTTTCTGAAATAAAGGGCAAAGGAATTGATTCTGACTATAGAGGACAAGTTAAGAAATAGTAACTCTGTTTCTCTGCTCATTTTTTAAGATACCTGTTTATAGTTTTGGTCCAATTTTTAGTTTTGCTGTGTTGGGGAAAGAGCTGATCTGAGAATGGAAATTAGAATCTCTGGGTAATCATGAACAATCTATGAATGAAGCAGTCACAAGAATGCCTGCCTGTGTATCAGGAACACAATCTGAGTAATGAGTGAAGGGCTTTTGAGCCTAACAACTGAAAGCCTAGAGCCATGTTTAAATTCTTTAAAGGTTTTGACTTCCAGATTACATTGAAAATGATTAGTGAAAAGACACCAGAGTATACCTTTAAAAGTTTTATTGTTTACTTTTGTCAGTGTAGCTTACATATTTATTTTTTACAGATAATAAATTTATATTTATCTGAGCAAGATCTCAGAGAGTCTCCTAAATTTGAAAAACAGATCCTTTATTGTTCACAGAATGACACTGAAGTATCTCTGTTCAGTTTCCTGAAATATAATCAACCCTTTTAAAATGCTTGTTATAAAAAGAGATGTAGAATTTGCATATGTACTTGAGTTCTAGTTTAATAAAAATAAATGTATTTGAATTTTATAGTGAGCGTGATGCATTTGAACAGGAAGCAACTGACTTAAGGAGAAAATATGAAATACTTGAAGCCTCTCACATAACTCAAGCTAAAGAAAGAAATGAATTATCAAAAGAGGTAAGCTTATAGAGTCACTTGTTTGTGTGTTCGTTTTTAATATTTATTTCTTTGACTGCGTTGAGTCTTCATTGAGGCACGCAGGATCTTTATTGTGTCATGGCTATGCAGGATCTTTATCCGTCACATGTGGAGTCTTAGTTCCCTGACCAGGGATTGGTCCTACATCCCTGCATTGCAGGGTGGATTCTTTAACCACTGGACCACCAGGGAAGTCCCGAGTCACTTGTTTTTTATTGTACAGTGATTATGGACATAGCCCAGGGCAAGAATTGTGAGAGGCATATTGTTTCTTTTTTGATGTAGTTGCTGGAAAGAAGGGACTTCTTAGTAGCTCTGTTTGGATGGAAAATTTCGTAGTACGAATTGGCCTCTTTATGTGTTAAGCACAAGCACAAATGAAAGAAATAATTCAGTAAACCTTGAAAAGTAGGATGACGTTGCCCTGGACACTCTGTCTCTGCCTGTGTGCAGGTGGCCACCTTACGACAGACTGTGACTTTGCTGCAGAAGGATAAAGAATATCTCAACCGCCAAAACACGGAGCTCAGTGTGCGCCATGCCCACGAGGAGGATCGTCTGGAAAGACTTCAAGCTCAACTTGAAGAAACCAAAAAGGCTAGGGAAGAGATGTATGAAAAATATGTAGCATCCAGGCAAGGTTTACATTATTTTCCATATAAATAGATATAAATCAAACCATCTTCTTTGAGCGAACTCCTGGCTTTGGGGACAAATAATGATTTGTTGATAAGGTTTATAGGATAATGTTAAGATAATTGTTTTTGGTTCTTGACAAGATACTCATAGTCTGATTTTTTTTCTTAAGACATTTTGTTTTTTTCCAAAAGCCTGTTTCTTTTAGGTAGGGATATATACACTGTTACTGTTTTTATTTATTTTTTTCTTATGATATAATCTTTTTAGCCTCCAATAACTAAGATCTCTATTTAAGTGTTTTAAGAAAGTATTTATATACTTTCATGTATTTAGTGTTAGTCGCTCAGTCATGTCCCCATGGAATGTAGACTGCCAGGCTCCTCTGTCCATGGGATTTCCCAGCATAGGTTGCCATTTCCTACTCCAGGGGATCTTCCTGACCCAGAGATAGAACCCAGGACTCCTGCATTGCAGACAGATTCTTTACCATATATTTACGTGCCTCATGTATATCTCTTCAGAAGGTATTTATTTTATCAGCATTTTTGTGAGCATTTCAAAAACTAAAATTCTAAATTTTATCCTTAAGACTTCATATATTCATCACATTTTTCTCAGCTTGTGGTATTTTTCATCAGTTTGTGCTTCTGCTAATACCCTATGTAATGCTTTGTGACTTTGCTAAGAGATCACAGTGACTGTGGTTGTTGTGCTTAGAAGGAAAGTTTTTTGAAAAGAATCCACAAGGGTCTTTTTTTTTTTTTTTAACATTGTTCCCTAATATGCACCACATCAGATAATTATTTCTAAATGAAGTACATTCCACAATGCATTGGTTTTAAAGTTTTTGGCCATATGCATTAAAAACTATTAGTAAAATATTTTTGAAGGTGAATAATTATCCAACATGAACTAACATTTTTTATAGTGATTAAGCCTTTGTGGAAATATGTTTAAAAGGAAATCTTAGATGGAACTACTTTGAAACAGTGTTTTTAGGAATTATAAAACTATATCTAATACTGTTTTTTTAAGGAACATTGTATGTAGAGCATGTTTGATGTAAGGTATTAAAATCTTACATGAAGGGCAAAGACCTATTTCTTTTACCAAAAAAAAAATAATAATAATAATGGATATTCCTTTTGACTCCTTTCAGAGACCATTATAAAACAGAATATGAAAATAAACTACGTGATGAACTGGAACAGATCAAATTGAAAACTAATCAAGAAATCAATCAACTCCGAAGTGCCTCTCGGGAAATGTATGAACGGGAAAACAGGTAAAAAAAAAAAAAAAAAAAATAGGACATTTCTGTGATATTTTATTGGTATTTGAAGCTTATAGTTTTATTGAAATTAAACTTTAGTTCATGATGTAATGTCTTTTTTAATATGTTAAATGAAGTTTGTCATAAATCTAAGTATAATGGAATATTAAAGTTCTCAGGCCTTTGATAACTAGCTTACAACAGGATTTGTCAGACATTAGGCCTGTTTATTCTGTTATTCCTATTATCTTTTTATTACCCTGTTAACTTGTCCTTTTGTCTTTATTAAGGACAGAAATGAAAAGGAAATTAGAATTAAGAGATACTAGTTCTTCCAGTAACATGCCAGTGATTTCTCCAGGAAATTTCAAAGACTGGAATAATAATAATAAATATTGCTTATGCCTCGTTTAGCTGCTGCACCTAAAAGAAATCATATTTTTAGATAATCTTAAAGAAGGATAGGTTTTATTCATGCAGTTACTTTGGCATATATCAGGTGTCCTTAGTGATTAGCAGTATTAAGGGAAAAATAAATGCTACTTATTTCAATAGCAGTTATTTTTATTTACCATCATTATGATTCATATGGCTTTTCAAAGTTGACATTTAGAGGGAAATTTATTTGGAAATTAACTTAATTGTCATACTAGTTTATTAACACTGACTTGAGTGTGTTTGATCTTTGCCAATAAGCAAGACTTTAAATCAGACTGTGACTTTTGGACTCTGTGGGAAAAGGCGAGGGTGGGATGTTCTGAGAGAATAGTATTGAAACAAGTATACTATCAAGGGTGAAACAGATCACCAGCCCAGGTTGGATGCATGAGACAAGTGTTCAGGGCTGGTGCACTGGGAAGACCCAGAGGGATGGGATGGAGAAGGAGGTGGGAGAGGGGATTGGGATGGGGAACACATGTAAATCCATGGCTGATTCATGTCAATGTATGGCAAAAACCACTACAATACTGTAAAGTAATTCGCCTCCAACTAATAAAAAGAAATGGAAAAAAAAAGAGAGAGATGCCAGAAAAAAATAAATAAATAACCAGACTGTGGTTGGTATTAGAGAAGTTTACACTTGTACTCTCAGAACAATAAATTTATTTATTTAGCAAATATTTACTAACCATGTACTGATACATGTCATGAGCCATAGATACAGTGGTGACCTTTACCTTCACAAAGCTGACAGTATAATGGAGAAATAAAGGAACAATAAGCAAAAGTATGATGATAATAGAGCAAATGGCAGGATACTCAGAATGAGACCACATAGACTCAAGGTGTATCTAACTGAGCCCTGGGAGGAATTGGGGAAGGTTACATGGAGGGAGAAATGCGTATGCTAACGTCGGCATGGCGACTAAGAGTAAGACCGTCAGTTATGGAAGGGAAGGAAATTAGGGGCACTAATGCGTATCCTGGAGACAAGTCAAAATGAAGTCTTTTTAACAAACTGCAAATAATTTAGTATGGTTAGCCCATAGACTGAGAGGCAGTGAGTTGTAAGAAATGAAGCCGAAAAGGGAAATAGGTCCTAATTATGCATTTGAGCCATTGTCTAACATCATAAAGGGTTAAAAGATTTTGAGATTATGCATGATATGATCTGACTTTATATAAGAAGTCCATTCTGTGATGTGGAGGAAGATTGAGTATATAAAGCTGTAGACAAGAAGGCCTCTTTTAGAGATTGTTTCCCTTACCAAGATGGGAAGTAATGATGGAACTACAATAGTAGCAGCAGAAATGGGGAGGATTAGGCCAGACTGGGAAAAATGCTCAGGAGGTAGAACTAAGCTAACTGGATAGTTAGGAGGATTCAGTGACTAGATTGGACTGGGGAGTGAGAAGGATGTCACTAGGTTCTTGATTGGGCAACCGTGGGGACAGTGATGCAGTCTTTAAAGCATCAGAAAAATACATGGCTTCGCCTGAGAAACATGACAAATTTAGTTTAGTTTCATTAAGTGTCTGTGACATATGTAAATAGAAAAATTGACTGTATAAGATCTGAATCTTAGAAGAAAGATCCAGACATGCATTAAACCTGTGGCATAGGTAATGCTACTGTTCTCTTTTACAAATAAGTACTTTTAGTCCTGTGACTCAGTTCTGCTATGGGATTTTGTAAAAAAGGCTTTTATTGGTCAACTTAAAAATCTTAAAATTTATGGGATTGTTTCTATGATAAACATGCATTATTACTTCCAAATAGTACACATAGCCACATAAACCTTAGTATGTAGTCATTTTGAGAATGTACTGATTTTTTAGTTTTTGTTGTTATTGTTGGTGGTGGTAGTGATTTTCATTTTTTCTAAAGTCCTTTAAAATACAGCTCATGTATTTGCAATTTGTATTTGCAAATTACAAATGCAATTTACAAATTGTATTTACAAATTTACATGTATTTACAAATTGATGTAAACTAGCCCCTCTTCTCTAAAATGATTGGTAGCAGTAGGTTGGGAAACAGATGATGGAACCATTTCTGGAAGCAGGGAAAATGAGCAGGTTTCCTTAACGTCAAAGTGGATGCCACCTAGTCAGGTTCTTCCTGGGATTAGGGCTGCTGCTGCTGCTGCTACTGCTGAGTCGCTTCAGTCATGTCCGACCCCGTGCGACCCCATAGACAGCAGCCCACCAGGCTCCCCCGTCCCTGGGATTCTCCAGGCAAGAACACTGGAGTGAGTTGCCATTTCCTTCTCCAATGCATGAAAGTGAAAAGTGAAAGTGAGCTCACTCAGTCCTGTCTGACTCTTCTCGACCCCATGGACTGCAACCTACCAGGCTCCTCTGTCCATGGGATTTTCCAGGCAAGAGTACTGGAGTGGGGTGCCATTGCCTTCTCCAGAGATTGGGGCTACCGCCCTGGAAACCGCAGCCAGCCACTGGGATGACTGCATGATAGTGAATCTAGGGTGGATGGTTGCCACCAGGTGGAGCCAGACTGCAGCCTGGGCCCCCAGCCAGCTGTGATACAGGCTCACCTGTATCATTTTATTAACCTCACAATAATCTAATCATATGTTTTATGTGGCTGAATTCTTTTGAATCCCAGTTTCCTCATTCTGGCAGGAGTTAACTGTAGTTAGAGTTTGCATTCCACTTGTCTTTCACAAGGTAAAAATAAATTGTAAATTATTTCCTTTGAAACTTCCAGCAAAATAATTAAGGAAAGGGTTTTAGTGTTCCTTGTTATGAAACATGATATCCAGAAAACACAAGAGTACTCATTTAGGTGTTTCTGTGTCTGAGCAAATTGATCACTTGTTCTGGACTTAGGTGTTTATGTTGATTACTTTTACTTCATCAAAGTGTGCTGTTACAATATGAATTAAAGTGGGGAAAGTACTTACACTTGCATATATGTACTTAGTCTCCTGGCCCCTTGGGCAATAAGCATTTTTAGGAGAAAGTTAAATAAGATTAGAGAAATATTTTTTGCTTTTGGTTTGTTTTCTATGCAATGGGGGATATTATAAGAGAGTGCCTTTTTAAAGACTTAAATATAAGTCATGACACTATAAAACCCCTGGAAGAGAAATACGCAAAATATTCTCTAACATAAGTCGTAGCAATCAGTCTCTCAAGTCAATAGACATAAAAGCAAAAATAAACAAATGGACCTAATCAAACATATAAACTTGTGCATAACAAAGGAAACCATAAACAAAATGAAAAAAATGGCATATAGAATGGGAGAAAATATTTGCATACAATACAACGAGGCTTCATTTCCAAAATATACAAATAGTTCATATAACCCAATAACAAAAAAGCAAACAACCCAACCAAATAATGAGCAGAAGACCTAAATAGACATTTATCCAAAGAAGACACACAGATGGCCAATAGACACATGAAAAGATGCTCAATGTGTCTGATTATTAGAGAGATGCAAATCAAAACTACCGTAAAGTGTCACCTCACACCAGTCAGAATGGCCATCATTAAAAAAATCTAAAAATAACAAAAATGATGGAGAGAGTGTGGAGAAAAGGGAATCTCCTACATTCTTGGTGGGAATGTAAATTGGTTGCACCCACTATGGAAAACAAAATGGAGATTCCTTTAAAATCTAAAAATAGTGGCTGTATGATTCAGCATTCCTACTCCTGGGCATATATCTGGAGAAAACTCTATAATTGAAAAAGATATGTGCACCCATGTGTTCATAGCAGCTATACAATGAAATAGTACTCAGCCATAAAAAAGAATGAAACAGTGCCCTTATATGGCAGCATCATGGATGGACCTAAAGATTATCATATTAAGTGAAGTAAGGCAGACAAAGATGAAAACTGTATGATATCAAGTATATGTAGAATCTAAAATATAATACAAATGAACTTATTTACAATACAGAAACATTCTCACAGACATAGAAAATAAACTTAGGGTTACCAAAGGAGGGGCAGGCATAAATTAGGAATTTAGGATTAACAGATACAAACTACTTTATAAAACAAACAAGATCCTACTGTATATTACAGGGTACTATATTCAGTATCCTGTAATAAACCATAATGGGCTTCCCTGATGGTTCGCTGGTAAAGAATCAACCTGCCAATGCAGGAAATGTGAGTTTGATTCCTGAGTTGGGAAGATCGCCTGGAGAGGGAAATGGCAACCCACTCCAGTATTCTTGCCTGAAAAATTCCATGGACAGAGGAGCCTGGCAGGCTACAGTCCATGGAGTCACAAAAGAGTCGGACAAACTGAGTGACTAAATAGCAACAACCATGAACCATAATGGGGAAAAAAAAATATGTACTGAAGGGTTGAGATTTAATGAAGTAATTTTGCTACTTTAATAAAGAGAAAGAGTGCCTTTTATTTTCTCTCCTTAGATGTAAAAGAAAGATGGAACTCATTCCATCCAATCTTGATCTGCCTCCGCAGTCAGTCATACCAGTAGTTCGTGAAGTTAAGGGGTTGAGAGGTAAGGGGAAGAGAAAATAGAGATAAAGGCTTCAGAAATGGCTGAGATAAGCAAAAAGAGA